GGTTGGAAACAGAGCAGCTCTGACTGGTTGGAAACTGGAGGGAATCTCACCCGATGGTGACTTGCATCAAAACGGGGCGAGATTTCGTTGGTGGCTTCGACTTCTTCAAGCCACGAGTTTTTTCACTGGAGGAGAACTTGGACTTCTTGGAACTTGCGGGGGGGAGGGTAAGCTTCCGGACAGAGACGAAAAGATATTCCTCGAACTTGTCTATGAACTCGTATTCGACCTCCTCCAGACCGGCGATTGAGATCGCGGCTGCGACGCATACGATCTCGTTGGCGAGATCGTGCTCGCCAACTGTGGTCGCCAGATTGTTCGCTGGGAAAATCGTAGGTTTCTTTGTTATTGATTCATTGTCATTTTGAAGTTCAAACTTTTTGATATGTATGTATATAGATTATGTATATATATTATATACATAATATGTATATATAATGTATTACATATATGTATATATTTTGTACATATATGTATATATATGTATATAGCATATATATACCATATATATATATATATATATACGATGTATATACTATAATATTATATAATATAGTATATACATTATATATATTATATATATATATATTACATCTATTATATATATATATTATATATATATATAGTATATATATATATAATATATATTATATTATAATATTTATATATATATATATATTATATATATATATAGTATATATAATATATATAGCTATATATATAGCATATATATATATTATATATAATATATATATAATATATACTATATATAATAATATATATACATATACATATATATAATATATACATATTAATAATATATATATATATTATAATATTATAATTATATAATAAAAAAACAAAATATATATATATATATATTAATATATATATATAGTATATTATATATATATATAATAATATTATATATTTCGATTGGATCTTATCCTCATCATCTTCTATAGTTCTTCTTGTTTATTGAGAAGTTTTCTAAACTCATTTTCATATAGCTTATTATTTCATTTTCATATCTTAGCTATATTAATTGAGTTGCATATTTTCTATTTGCTTTTATCACACACACCTTATTGAGCTTATAATATTTCCATACAATATATTGTTGGGTAGTGGTGTGTGATTTAGTGAGAGTGAGCTTCATTGTGTTCT